GGGGGGGGGGAGTTAGAATACCGCGGTGTGGCGACGCGAGGTGGGGCGCGGCGGGGCGTGGCACTGCACGACGTTTGGCGTAGAGAGGAGGGCCAGCGAGCGCTGCGGGGGAAAAGCGAGCCTCTCGAAAAACCGGCGCCGTCGTCGTGAACACGGCGCTTTTGGTTCTGTCGTCGTCCCGCCGGCCCCACGCGGACGGTGAGGTGAAAGAGGAGGAATAGGTCACAGAACCTGGGAAAGGAAGCGAGGGAGTTTGGGGTGCGAGAAAAGTGCTGCGGACCGGGTCAGGCTGGGCGGGCGCAGCAGTGGGCGCGGGGGCCGAGTCTGAATTTTCTCTTTTTTGGACGAGAGGGTCAGTGGCGTAGGGCCTGCTAGGAGGAATGTAGGAAAGGAAGGTCCCTCTGGGGAAACCTGTAGCGATAGCAGAGCGATCCGAACACTTTCAACCCCTCCAACTCTGTGAGGACTATGTTGATTCTAGTGGTTCTTGACCTAACAGAGAGGCGGTCGAGCAGGGCGTTCCGGATATAGGTCGCGCGGTATGGGGAGTAGAGGGGGTGGAGGCGAAACAGCAGGACCTAGCGCAGGGCGCGCCGAAGGGCGTGGCCCCCGCGCCATGATGTTCCGTTCCCTGCCGCGCGTCAGCAGAGGAGGGTGGTGGTCTAAAAGGCCCTAAGGTCACCCCCACCCCCACCCCGTGCGCGGTGTGGTGCGGTGGTTAGGTGTGCGCGGAGGGTCTACTTAGCAACCTCGTGTCGCCGGTCCCACACACACACATTCACATGGTGTACCTCGAACAACTTGCCACTGAAACACACACGTGTGAAGAATACAGGATGCCAACAGCCCCTCCAAGTGCACTGACTGCACACGTCCAATACGAAATGCGCGGGCCTTTCTGACTTCTAGCCCCACAGCCAAAGGCATTTGGCCAGTAGTATCGGCATCGGCTGGATGATGGGAAGGAATCACGGGGACGCGGCAGTCGGAGCGCCGGAGTAGGGCAGAAGGTGGTGGAGGTAACGGAAAAGATTATACGAGCATTTCCTTTTCGCGGCATCAACGGCGCGGCTAGGGAGTGACGGAGCAGCACGAGCAGGAATATATAGAGATGGGCAGGGAGGGAGACGGGAAGGCGCGGTTCGGTCGAAAGGTGAAGCAAGGGCGCGAGCCATACGGCGTCTCTTATTTTCCACGCGCGGCAAAGGTTTCTCCAGTATTGCAGTTTTTTGCGCCGGCATTCTGCACGGCCGCGCGACTCGTCCGTCCGCCCCTCTTTACGCATGCGTCACGAGGGTCAGCGCCTGCCGCGGAGGCGTCGCGGCGCCGAGTGAGTGGGCGTCGTCCACTCGGTCCACTTCTTTACGCCCGTGCCGTCCTGCCGGGCCGGGCCGGGCCGGGGCGGGCCGCCAAAGCGCGAGCCATCGCTTAACTTTTACGAGTGTCTCTCTGTGCCCATGCCCCTCGCGGCTGTGAGCCTATTACGCGTGTGTCACCGCGACGAGATGTAATACCACACGACTATAGACGTGCACCCGAACCCTTTTCGAGATGCAAGTGTCACCTTGTCCTGCTCCTGCTCCTCTCGTGCCACTTGCACTGCTCCTCGCGTCCTGCCGCGAGGCTGACCGGGCTCCCACGACGGCCTTCCTTTCAGGAGGGCGAGCTCCACGCAGACTCAGGGACGGCCTCGGGGACACCTGCCCGCGGAGGTGTTGATGAGGACCGCGCGTCCTTGCCCAGGACCGCGTCCGCCTCAGAGTCCACGACGGCGTCCTGGCGTGTGCCCCTAAGCGCGGCGGGGCGGGCGGCCGGGCGGGGCGGGGCGTGGCGGGCCCTTCCGTGCTCACTTTCCTTCTCATTTCCCGTGTACAACCTTGGCCATCAACCCACTATTAAACTGCCCGTACGAAAAAGTTTAGTCCGGCATCAGTCCGTTTTCGGTCCGCAAAGAGTCCGGCTGGACAGTCCGTCATCAGTCCGCAAAAGCGAGCGGACTAGTCCGCGAAAAAAGCCAGATCGACCAAAAACCGACCTATTTGCCGGACTAGTCCGGCTGGAACTAGTCCGCTTTTGGTGCGCATCCCCGCCT